ATAGGCGGTTTTCCGGTCCGTCGTACACATCGAGGACGGAAGCCTGAGTTTAGGGGTTATACCTTCGGGGCCGGTGGACCGGCGGATCGGCGGCGGCTCGTGGACCGAGGCAGGAGGGCAAGCATGAGCAAATATTACTTGTAATTAATAACTAATTATTAATTATAATAATAATTAAATAATTATAATTAATAATTAATAACTAATTATTAATTAATTATAATTAGTAAACTAATCACAATTATAATTGATTAATATTAATCAATTATAATCAGTAATTAATTACTAAATATTAATTAACTATAATTAATTAATTAATTATTATCATAATTAAATAATGATTAAAATAATTAATAATAATAAGTAAAGTAAAAATTAAACCCTCCCCCCTCTCATGGTTCGGCCGGATTTACGGGATTAGGCCGAAGAAGCATGCGGTAGGGAGAAAGTTACCTTTACTAAATATTAATTAACTATAATTAATTAATTAATTATTATCATAATTAAATAATGATTAAAATAATTAATAATAATAAGTAAAGTAAAAATTAAACCCTCCCCCCTCTCATGGTTCGGCCGGATTTACGGGATTAGGCCGAAGAAGCATGCGGTAGGGAGAAAGTTACCTACACAGCCGCGAGCTCCTGTTCTTGCGCCCGACCAAAATGCCGTAACTTCCGCCCCGACAGGTAGGGAAAGTCGTCGAAGCAACGAAGTCGAACAGCAATGGGGGCGCCGAAGGAGCGTAGTCGATCGACCGCGAAGGAGCAGGAGCGAAAGGGAGAAAGTCACGATCGTAGCTAGCGAGCTCCGGTGTGGCTTCCGATCAAAAGGACATAACTTTCGATCCTACTGGAAGGGAAGTCGTCGAATAGAGAAGAGGGGGTCGGAGGGAGAGAGCGTGAGCGGGAGGAAATCGGAGAGTGAGCGGGATCGTGAGAGAGAGTTCGGAAGAGGGAGAGCTCGGGGAAGAGAGGAAGGGAGGCCGAAGGCCTCGCTCTCGCTTCCTTTTAACGACGCGAGGCCGTCGTGTGATGAAATGACGCGAGGTCGTGCGATGACATGCGAGCCTGCGATGTGTTTCTACAGAGGGCAGGTGAGATTTGATTTTTTTTTTCTTTTCTCTTTTTTTTGTTACACAACAGGTCAACGCAAACGAAGCCTTAGTCAACTGTTTTGTCGAGTCACCTTTTGTTCAGCTAATTTTATGATAGTATGAAATATATTATTCACATAATACACATCTAATAAGGCCATAAATTTTCCTCAATTCTTGCAGGCAATCTTTACTCTTCTTATTGTAGTAAATGGTTAAATTCAAGTAGGAGCCATACATAAAATCAAATTAATCATATCATCAAGGGACATTAGTTCAAGAATATCTTATGGCTTAGTTGGTTTCAAGTTCACATCACCATCTTTGAATATTGTAACATGCCAAATGCAAGGCATGAAATCGGACAACAAAAAGTGCAAATTGCCTTCCCGAATGTAAGTAAGCCATTGCTCTCTCTAATAAAGAAAAAAGTAAAATTCCTAAGGTCACTTGGATGTTGGTAAGTTGTGCAAATTTCTGCTTCAAATGTAGTAAAATTGAGATAGAATAATGAGCTCAATTAATAATATGGATTAATAAAATATGGAAATAAAAAAAATGGTAGTCGTTAGCAAATATAAGTTAAATGCATTTCAGAGCTTGAGTGAGTAGCAGCGTGAAAGCCAAAATAGTTAGCAAATGCGGGAAGGAAGAAGATGTAATATTACAAGAACTACTGCTTCAAAAAATCAAAAGAAAAGACTAAAATTTAGTAGCAAAAGGAATTCTTAGCCAGAGCTCATCCCCTAGCAAAGTTATATCATCGGCCTTCTAAAAGATAAATGATGGGGACATCAGATTTCGACACGTGTACCATCGCCGACGGCGCAGATCGACGGCTATGATCCAGAGCCTCTACTTTTGAGTTTATAGCTTATGTCATTTTTTTTATTATTAGTTTTTCCGAGTTTGCCCCTGAGGGCATTGTTTGACTTATGTAGCCCCGAGGGCATTGTTGTCTTTTCTTTTCTTTCATTTGGAGCCTCCATATATGAGGCAATATGCATTGTAATTTGTTTTAGTTTTGGATGAAATGAAATTAACCTCGTGTTCTCTTTGTGAGTGCAACCTCTCTCTCAAATCTCTTAGTGAGTTTTGAGAGGAGCTAGATCTCTTTGTGAGTTCTAGGCCGGTCGGCGGCAGCCGGCAGCAGCGGCAATTGGTGGGGTTAGCCGGCGGACGGTAGCAACAAGCGACAGGCAGCAGGTGGCGATGGAGATAGTGGCCATCGTGGATGGTCAAGGAAGCACTTGAGCGGTGTAAAGCTTTCACGATCAAATTGGGCGAGAACACTTTACCTCAAAAATAAACTAAAATAGAATACCGTACATTTACTTTACCTTGGATTTGCTTTTCATCCAATCAAACACTAAAAAGTAAAAAAGTAAAGCATTTACTTTTCTTCCAACCAAACAACCCTTTAGTAAATTCACTGAACCTAATCATGCACAATTAAACCCAATATTGGCCTGCTTATTGAGCTCAAATTCAAATGACCCTAATAACTTATTCATCAATGCAAAAAAAAGGCAAATGAGCACTTATGCATTCTTACTAATTCGAGTTAACTAATCAAGTAATGCTGTCACAGACCAACATCCTCTAGTTGCAAAGAACTTCACTTCAAAAGCTTTGCAATTAAAGATACCACAACTTTGGAGGTTAGTCTTATGTTACACTAGGCCAAAAATGTTCTTCTTGTTCTTAGAAGATAACGAGGCTTTCCATTCATTGCACAAAAGTAACATCACATTATCTCCACATTCCAAATTGGTGTCAAGCATCCCAACATAGCCCTTAGTCTTCAACCCGACAACAATTCAACAAGTTCCCCTATTTTCCGCTACCTACAACTTACCAGTGTGCGACTCCACTATTTTTCTAGCATTGAGAAGATCTACAGCTTCTTCCAAATTATTTTTTGGTTTTGCAATGTCATCTTGTCTTTGATGTGATTCTTCTGCAACAACTTCCCTAGATCTATGTATGATCTTTTGAAGCCTTTAGAGCCCTACAGCATCATCGATGGTTCCTAATTCTGGTGGATTCATCTTTGAATCTCTCTTTTAAGTGATCTTCTATTTCTAACTCTATGGCTGGTTGGCAACACTTAATGATATGGAAAAAGGTTCTTTTATAATCGAACAACTGAAGCACACATTTAGGTAACACCGTCGTGGAACGTCTAAGCAATATAAGCATGTATCAGGATGGATGAGGTGAAAAGAATATTAGATGAACAATCACACATTATTAAGGACATAAACACCAAAAAGAAAAGAAAAAGATCTAACATTGTTGGATATCCTCCTCATGAAATATATTAGACATTTACACTTATTGCACCAGCAAAGCCAAAGAGAACAGAGCAACTAAGTACAAATATAAACATAAAAAAACCAAACAAAGAAGGAAAAACAGTGCCTTAGCAAAATCTGAAGGGAGAGTCTTAAGGAAAAACAGTGTCTTAGAATAATTCAAAGGGAAAGTAATATGAACTCTAAAGCAACAGCGGAGATTAAACTCAGCTCAATAAAAACAGTACCTTTGGACATGACTCGGTACCCCAAGCCATAGCAGATATTGCCTATTAATTGGAATAAAGTTAGAATTGCCAAATCAAAGAAAACAAAGAAGTTTCAGGTAAGGAAAATGCAAGAACATTCCACCTGAGCACCCCCAGCTTTTAATATGTGGGTTACACCAGCTTTTTTCGCGCAATAAAGAACCTCCTATTGGAAAAACATGAATATTAACTTCCAACATAATGGAAGAGATTAGGCTACCTCTTAGATATAATACCTTGCATATGGTTCCATCACTTGATGGAGGTGTAGCAAGAACAATAGTCTTACACCCTGCAATCTGGGCAGGCTGCCTCACAGAAGATACAAAAAGTTAACCAGAAAGCTAATTAGATCAAGAAAAAACTGATATAGAATATGCATTAATACCACTGAGAGCATCAAAGCAGTTGATGGTAAGACAGCAGTTCCCCCTGGTACATATAAACCAACTGAGCCAACACACCTTGCAATTCGTTTACATTTGACACCCTATACAAGTTTAGTTTATTTAAACAAAGCAGAAAAATTGTTAATATAAGAAAAAAAGAATAATTACACTCATGTTCTCGATGATCCTCTCAGGAATCCTTTGTGCTGCATGGAATGCATATATGTTGTCAAATGCTACATCAAATGCTTCTCTCACTTCTTGATCGATCTGCATTTCCACATAAGCAAATTTTAGGCATTTGTGCATGCGGATACATGTTTCAAATAGCAGATAATGCTTAAGGAGTGTAGAAAAGTCAGGGTTAACTACAAATTGCAGCTGGTTCTACAGTTATACTGCAACATACAAAAAGAATATCAAAGATACACCACAAATAAGAACATATAAGAGAAATGTTAACTTTCACACACAACATAATACTACATTGTCTACATGGAAATGTCTGCTCTAACTCAAACATGCACAAATCCTTATCCTAGCTGCTCTTGATCTACGTCATGATTGCGTTTAATTACTAAGCCAATGGAACTCAGGTTAGGAACTATTCTACTTATTCTTGGAAAATTATTACACTATTACCAAGAGATATTATAAATCTCACTCAGTAGTCTAGTTTTTTGCTTTAATTATACTAAAAGTCAAGGATATATATATATATATATATATATAGCAAAATCAAGACTCCATTAATTCTAGCTTCATTAATTATGCTTCCATTCATGCTCCAATAAGTTCGGTTATCCTCCACCTTAACACCTTCCTTATTCACTACATGCCACCTAAGTGATCCATGGGATTATTAGTACAATCTCATCTATTTGCGGAGTATTGTAATTATTATATAATTATTATTCTGTCATCTAATTAATATGTGGACTACTGTAATTATTACTCCCTAATTTGTATCTGATTTTATAGGTTCCCTACAATAAATTCTCCTATCAATACTACATAAATATTAGAATAAAACACTCAACCAACTCTCCTCAATTCTTGTCATGATATCAAAGCCCTTGGCTTTTTTTTTTTATACTTTTTTTCTTTTATTCCTCTATTTTTCTTCCTTATAATTTGATTGTAGCAGCCTTTATTGCTATATTAGCACAATCATGTGGCCTTCATTGTTGCTCTGTTTATTTTATTCCCCTACTTTTTCTGGTGTTGCAGCTTTCACTGATGCATTATAATAATCTTCTAGCCTCCATCATTGCACTTTCCTACTTTTATCCTATTTTTACTATAAATATAGCCTTCATTACTATATTAGCACAAATATTTCTCATTATTGCCGCCTTCATCACCACATTGCCACAAATTGGTCACTTTTACTATATTGTCACAAACATTTTCCACTGTTGCAGCCATCATCGCTACATTGCTGCAAATTAGCCTCATTATTGCAACCTTCATTACTACATTTCCGCAAACACTATTTAAAATTGTGTACCAAAGGAGCGCCTCTATGCATTCTGAAGGAAAAACACAATGAGGTGCTCATTGGTTCTGTGAGGAGCGCCTCACCTCAATTTCTTTGAGGCATGCGCCATTTATAACTATAATTTTTAATAGAAATATAAGTAATAAAATCTAATATAATACGTTACATACTCAAATAATCTCTATGCATCACTTGTGCATGAATGCAATTTCACGGTCATAGAATGTGTGCCTCTCCTCTCACGCAATCCCTTCTCCACTCCTCATGCACACTGCTGACCATCTCCTACTTAGCCATGGTAAATGGAGAGGATGACGAAGATGAAAAGATGGTGCCACAAAGGATGCCTTCTGAAAATGCTAGAGAAGTGTGCAAACATATTTGTATGGATATTGGAAGGTTCTTTTATGAGAATAGCATCCCATTTAATGTGGCAATGTCTCTTCTTATTTCAACATGATCCGTTCCGATTCTCCCTATTCTAAATGTTTTTTTTTTCAAAATTTAGTAATGGCACTCCAGAGTTACAGTGACTTGCTACTATTAAAGTATTAAACTTACATATTTGACATCTGAATTGGAGCGAAATTAGAGTCTATACAATCAAGTTCAGAACAAATCAAGAAATAGTTTAAATATCTTGAGGATTAACTTCTTGATTTACATAATGTATAACAAGAGATTAAATGATAGAAATTTGAAGAAAAATACTATTAAAGAAAAATACATTAAAAGATTACAAGAACTTTTGATTTTAGAGAGTGAGAGAGAGAAACTTATTGTGTTAAATTTATTTTAAATTATTATGTTACTTGTTCTTACTTTGATACATTATCTAACTTTGATTGTTTCACAACACTTCTACTTCGCACAATTTGTTACTTGATACTTTGTGCAATTGATTACTTCTTACTATGTTAGGATATTAATATGTTACTTTTAAATATGTAAATAATTTAACATGTTAATATATTATTACATCATATTTTGATGAGTGTACAATAATTTCTACTTACGCAATTTGTTGATTCTAAGGCGTAAACCTCACCTCATAGATAAAAAATGCCTCAATACCTAATTGTGCAATTTAAAATCCTTGCCACAAATTGGTCCATTATATTTCTTTCCTTTTTTTCTTGTGAACAAAGCCACAATTTTCCTCTCCATAGATAATAATAACAGTAATTATATACCCTTGTGATAAAAAGTGCTTGTAAAACTCAAGATAATACTTGGTTGAAATTAAATTTCAGCAATCTCCACACAAACCACATGTGAAGAAGAGGAATAACAAGGAAAACTTTGTAATAGACTAAATAGGGAAGAAATAAACAAGATACAATGGATCCTCAATTGGAGAGGAGGATCTAGCTCTCACAATACCTAGTCGGTGGCTAGAGCCCAAACAAAAACCTAAGAGCTCTCCAAATTTCAGCAAATACAAGATCACCCTAACCCTAGGGACAAATCCTCTTTAAAACATACAATAATAAAGAAAACCCCAAAACAGCCCCTACCTTTCAAATTGCCCTCCTAATCCTACCTTAATCCTTTCTCGAATTGGCACTGCTGGGCCCCACCCCAAGGAACCGACTATGCTAGATAGAACTTCTTGTTCCACCTGCTGTAAACCTGGACTGGTTAAGGACTGATCTAACACCTTGATCCAAGGTTCTCTTGAAATTAAGATATGCAATCAAAATCCATTGGAAGAGTTATGAAACATTTTTCAAATATCGATTGAATGGAAATAATTACCTAAAATGGTCAAGATTTGTTCATAGATTTTTTAAGAGAAGAAAATTGAGCCACTTACCAGACAAAAAAAATTGGGACAATCTTTTAGAAATTATCAGACAAGTTTGAAATGGATAACATACATTGATTCGCTTGAGATAGAATATGAAAAAGTTCAGACTTTATCAATTTTTGCACCAATCAATGTTCCCCCGAGACTAGCATTCCTCCACATTCTTGCTCACTTCATGTCACCACAGTGATTAATACAATTATTAGAGATATTTCAACAATCTGTGGACTAGTGTAATCATTCTACAATTATTATTCTGTCACCTCATCAATTTATGGACTATTATAATTATTCAATATTTTTTATTCCTTGATTTTGTCTATTTTCTATTAGAAAATCTATTGGCATTTTGTAAATACTACACAAAAGATGGAATAAAATAGTCAATTAATTCTCCTCAATTCTTTTATGATCAGTTTTCTATGGTTACTGCATACCCTAATGAATATCTAAAATCCTTCATATCAAATGCTTCAGCTGTAGTTTCCTGCAGGAACAATTGGAGTGGATTGGCTTACTCAGACCATGATATCATGGTTAAGAATGTATTTGAGAAGATATATGCCTGACTTAAACTGATCATCTTTTGCAGACAAGTCAAGAACAAAAAATAGAACTGGAATAGATTAGAAAAAATATAGAACACCGGCCAAGTCAAGAAAAAATTTGTGACAATAATAATAGACTATAACTTATGCCCATTACTGGATAACAGTAATGTTAATTAACACATGCAAGATGAGAAAGATAGATATATTCAAGCACGTGCAAAGCAAACAAATAACTTGTACATGAAAAACAATTATCAATTCATGTGAATCAGCTCACCTCAGGATCTGGCAGATCAGAAACATGTTCAACGATTCGTTCCAGTGTAACCTTATCAAATTTTATAGTATAACTGCATAAGCATTAATTGAAATCATTAGATATTGCATAAAACAAAGGTGAGGGAACAAAAATAAAAAGTTTGTTAAGCAGTATTCAAGAATGGGGATTCAAGAAGCACCAACTCTACAACAGCAGCATCGCCTCTACTTTGGACATCATCCACAATAGGTTTAACCTAATTTCAGGTAAATCGCAAGTCAATTAAGGCTTCGTTTGGGACGGCTTTCTTACAGCTTCTTAAAGCAGATTTCTAGTACAAAAATTTTAATTTGTATACTAAAAAACTGCTTTAAAAAACAATAAGAAAGCAATCTCAAACGAAGCCTAAGAATGCTATCCTCGTGGCATGAAATGAAAAATGATGTCTCTTAAAAAATTTAAATACGAAAATTCTCACCACACCAAAGATTGATGTAAAATCAATGCGAGGACGTGTCTTGAGCTTGTGAACCTCAACATCCTTAAGATCTGATAGCCGGTACGATTTCATTGAACACTGGATAGTTTGAGGTCTGTAATCTGCGCAAGTAATCAAGGCAAAGTAGGTAATGAATCGAAAACTCAGAGTGAAAGAAAAAAAAACTAACTTTAGAATTAAAATAATTGCTCCGCTCAAATCTCTGCAACAATATGGGGTCCAGATTAAGTAAAGGTATAATCCATCCAGGAGTAGGTAAACTGAATGGAAACTGAGCAGAGGTTCAAAAAGAACTAGTTCACTGTCAACTAACAGAACCAAATCAGAAATATTCCAGGGCAAAATCAACCAGAAGATAGACGCTTCAGGATGCACTTGTCACGTTTAGGAAAGCAGAATGCTCGGGAAAGACCAATGATCTGTGTGCTAAAAACTTGACTAGGCCTTGTAAACGAAGAAAATGCAGCTTCCATCAACAAATTTTATCCTGCATTCCAGTTGAGATAAATAATAAGATAGAGCATCCAAAGTTCCGAAAGATCTATGGCTGATGATTGCAAATTCTCACTAGCTTCAACTTATATTACCACAAACATCATAACAAGTGTTCTCACGTCTTCTAGACGTGAAAACAAGCATGCCCTAGCCTCAAAATAGCATTCCAAAGCTTCATATAGTAGGCATAGAGGGGCTAGCCCATCTCCGGAGAAGAACGAAGAAGGCGAAAATAACCCAAAAAACTCAGCAAAAAATAAAAAATGTCAGACAATCGTGGCAAAGTAGAAAGAAATCCAATAACGAATTCCAAAACGAAAGCTTTCAAGAAGGTTCTAATGGCATCACTATAATTCTTCGTGGGCCAAACAGATGGGTAACCAAAAGCGCGATTTTGATTTCTCTCATGAGGATAAATATCGAGATGAGAGAGAAAAAGAACAAAGCGGCCGGAGTTACCTGTGAAAGTTGCAGAGTCGTCGGCCACGGCAGCGGCTGCAGCGGCGGCGGCGCCCAACAAAAATTTCTCAAGTATGATAGGTAGAAGAAATGATATAAATGAAATTGTACGCGTTTAGACTTTAGATCATAGTACTTTTGATCGAAAAAGAAATCTGATTTCTTTCGTACCCCTCGCTCGATGAGAAAATGGTTTAGACTTTAGATCATGTTGCGACTCGGGTTGCGCGTGTCGGTCTATATAAGAAATATTGAGAGGATCAGACTGATCAATGGCTCATGGATTCGTCATAGGGAGTGTAGGATGGACGCACGGGGTAGTTCCCTTGCCGCAGTTTGCGTGCACAGGCTAACTGGACTTGATTCCAGTCTGAGGGTTTTTGTCGGTGTTATATACTTATATGACTCAAATTTATATTTTTTAAACTATCCTTTAAAAAAAAAAAATCTAGGGGACAGCATGAAAAAAGAATCCATGTAGTTTATCCGAACAGTGGGATTGTTGTTGTTCATCATCTTTCATGAATTATAAAAAAAATTATCTTGATGGAGCACGAATCTTTAGGTAAAATCACATTGGAAACTTTCAAAATTAAATCCAGAGTCATTCAAACTCCGATTTTAGCAAACTTATAATTGAATTGAATGTCTCGAAAAGACGGATCCAATGACATATAATTTGACTCAATCTAAATCTAAATGAGTCCAAATCAAGAACCCGAGGCGCATTTGAATTGTTCAAACCATAAATTGGATGACCAAATTATTTTGAAATGTGACATGCTTATAGTATAATCGAGCGACTCGACCAAACGAATCCAACAAGCTCAAGATCGTTGAATTCTAACATCATTAAGGAACTTAAATTTTAATATATGATATATGATCAAGAGAGTCGATATCAGTCGCCATTCAAAACACTCCCAACATGCTCTTGATCTTCTCCCTATTTACTAGCCATGACACTCCTATAAAGCTATAAATATACCCCTCATTTTTCAGTGAAAGTGGAGGATGAAAGGAGAGAAAGGAAGGAGATGAAAGAAGGAAGAGAAATATGAAATCTCTTTTGCCAGCACGCTCCTCCTCGACCACCACCAGGCCATCGGCCGTCGCCAGACTTCTGTCTGGTCACCGACTGTCATCGGACTATTGCCGAACTTAGGCCCGGCCATCAATTATCGTCATACTATGGTTTTTTCTGACCTCTGCTGCCCACCAACTATGGTCCTTCCAACCGCCATCGCTCAACAACAGTCTTTTCGACCTCCGTTGCTCAACTATGGTCCTTTCATCCACTGTTGCCGACCAAACAAACATGTCAACATTGATTCTTTCAACTCCCACTATGTAATATAGTATACATGATGTATATTTTGTAACATCGAATCAAAACCTTACCCCCGAGGAACGGTCTCATTTGTAATCAACTACAAGCACTAGTGCATTCATTTAAACTAGGCAAGACCTCGTAATTTTTCCCCTTTTCTCAAAGGTTTCCACATAAAAAACTCAGGTGTCTTATATGAACACTGCACCCATCTCTTTTATCTGATTGTGTGTTGGATCTTCGTACATTATTAAGATGTTAAACTTCATATTTCTCTACCGTCATGAATGTTCCAAGACAACAATCATATAACAGCATGTTGCATAAATTTTATAAAATGTCAAAAAAAAATAATTTATATGAGAGTATGCTTAATAAATTAAATAAAAAAATATATATTAAAATTTTGGAGCCACAAAGGACACAAACATTTTATAATACATTTTTACATCCAAGAAATAGATGAACAACAACAATAATAACATTAAGTTTTTATCCCACTATATGTGGATAAAAAATAAATGAAGTATTTTAAAAAATAATCCAAAGAATTGTTTCCCAAAGTTATGTGCATAAGTTAGCATAATGCCAAAATATTATTCAAGTAGATGAAATTCAAGAATCAAGTTTTATGGATCATCATCTTGTCCAAAGGTTATACTGTTCCAACCAATTAGCTTAATAAGAAGAGAACTATTGGATAACAAATAAAACATAAATAGGTTGGAAAAATATAAAAAATATTAATACTCACACCCCAATAAAAGGAGCCAAATAACAAAAAATAAACCGAGAAAACTCGAGAAGAAACATCTTGATCATGCTAGTATAATAGAATATCAAAACAAACCAAATCAAATGAGAATATTACACTATTATTATAAGGGTCAAATTGACAAAAGAAATAATGTGGGAAATAATTTAAAATTTATTTTTAATTGTTTTTCTATGATATAAATATTATAATGTATATCTAGACTTTCTAACATATCTATCCTAATAATTTCAAATTCATCATAGCAATTACAAATCAAAATAGGGTAGAGAGGGATTAGGGTTGGGGAATTTGAGTTAGTGCACTCATTGTTATCACTAGCTAAAGTATAGTAGATTGAACAAGCATGGATTTCCAACCATTATAATTTTATTTTATCCCATTGATATTTTCAAGGATATTATCAAGCAAAGAGAAAAGAGGGAAAATTTGAATGCCAACAAAAGTGAAAGTGAATATTTACTTCGATTGATTAAGGTTATCCACAGTGATGGGGCTATCGACATTGTTGGTATTTTTTGTCGATAGCCTCTAGGTTACAATAGAACAAAGGCATGATAGAGAGCTTCACCCAAATGAGAATGTGGATAAGTCTTATCCAAGGGATGAAAATTTATGAATCATTTTTGGGAAATTTACAGACATACCACTTTATTTCATGCTATTTACATATTTAACATTCATAACATTAATATTACATATCTACCACCCATAGAACAAATATGAGTGCATGAAATGAAATATTTAAATTTATAGGACGATATGAATGGTAAGAATGAAATATAAGAATGTTATATTTGATATTAAAGTTGTATGTGGGTGGTATGCATATAATATTAATATTTTAAGTGTTAGATATATAAATAACATGGAATAAAATGGTATGGATGTAAATCCCCCTAAAATTTTCCATACACAAACCAGAACCATTGGGATAAACCATCTCAAAAGCATCCACACAAAGGAGTTTACTTTATTGAATCTAAATTTAAATAAAAAATGCATAGATGAAAATGTATGCCCTAAACCCTAAACCCTAAACAAGAGATTTTTCAATAGTTGCATACTCCTAATCACTGTAACTACCCTTATCAATTTTTTCATTCTTTGAATCAATTGACTTTATCCTTTCATGGCCCTTATAGTCATATTCTTCATCACTGTCCTCATTATCACTGTTAGCAGATGGTCCAGCTCTTTCTTCACCATCTGATTCCCACATTTCATCCTCTGAGGAGCCATCGAAGTCAGATGAACCATCCAGATCTGCGCCTCTTCTTTGTGGTCTCTGACTACCACCTTCCTCTCTTGTGCTTCTCCATAATCCATGAGTTCTTCCTTTGCTCTCAATGGCATTGGCTGCGTCTTTTTCAATGCCTGCAATCACATCGTCCACTTCATCATTTGATTCCCATTCCTCACTTGATGATTCCTCAATATCCTCTTCATCTTCCCATTTTTTCTGAGTATTTCTCCTTTGATTGCTCCTCTCTTCATCTGATTCTGAATTCCTCCAGTTTTGGCTTCTACCCTTCAACCCATATCCAATGTCATCTTTGCCCCAATATCTTATCTTAGAAGCTTCTTCTTTCTCTGCTGCTTCCTCTTTCTCCCACTCCAGATCCGCAGCTTGCTCAATTTCAGCAATGAACCTATCAAGCTCTTCTTGGTCACTGTAATCAGGAGATGGTTCATCAGCATCCTCGCCCGAATTTTCAATAGTTTCGGGTATCGGTCTTGCATTCTCGCGGAAAACATATGGAGTTCCTTGTTTCTCATCGATGGCCCGGAAAAATGTAGCAGCTACTTTCTGGATACTAGCCATGGCGATCGGGTCCTCCGGACTGATCCCCTTTCGACGAAGTTGTTGCTCTACTTTCTTGATGTTCAGTTTCTGGGATTCAAGAGCTTGCTCAAATCTAGCCTTGAACAAGGCCTGCAGAAGCCATGAAAGGACTACATTTCAACAACATTTTATTTAGAACACAATATCAGAAAGAAAGAACAGTACTGACCTTTCTTTTAGTGAGAGTATTGATGGGTATAAGATTCTTTGGCTGTCTATAGTTTCTCCCTCGGAACATGATAATTGTTTTTACATTGTGTATATTAACGACAATGCCACCACTTAACCTTGAAAGCATGGTGGCCATCTCTCTGATCTTTTCCTTGGGGAAATTATCACAACAAACTTGTACAGTCTCATGAAACTTCCAGTGGAGATGCATATTTTGGACAACACCTCCAAAGACTCCACGAACACCAACAGGCACATAATTTCTATTTCTGAATCCAACCTTTTTGTATGCTTGAAGCTGTTCTGGGGTCAGGAGCTCCGGATCATGTAATGGCGGAGGCAATTCTGGCAACTCGTACTTTTTTAGCTTCTGTAGGAGCAAAGCAACCTTTTTCTTGGCCTGAAAAAAAAAATTATGAAAGGAAAAGCATGATAAGAAAAGCTAAAATACCTCTGCTCTTAAGATCTCCTTCCGTCACATATGTAAAAGTTGCTGGAAATCTTGTATTAAAAAAAAACAAATGTCTATTATCGAGAAGAAAATAAAAGAACAATAGAAAGCAATGTCACGACTGTCATAGCCTAAGAAGAATCAATGCGTTAGAGCTGCATTTTAACTGACAATATTAGGTCACAATTTGCATTAAAGAATCATTAGCTTAGAAGTTCTTGTCATTTTACAAAAAAGAAAAAAAGTTCAATAAGTTAGTTGAAGAAACTTGTAAAGACCAACAACTAAAAAGTTTGCTATGAAGTTCATAATTAGTTTATCCATTCTAGAAGTTAGATTAATAAAAAAAGCTACTAATAACCTTTTTTGTTCCCAAAATAAGCCAGTTGTAACTGGCTAAGGTTTCATTTGAGACAACTTTCTTACTGCTTCTTAAAGTTGTTTTCTAGTACAAAAATTAAAATTTTTGTACTAGAAAACTGATTTAAAAAGCAGTAAGAAAGCCATCCCAAATGAAGCCTAAAGCTCTCACTCCAACACTTGATAGATTGGTTGGCCAGTTTTGTGGTGCCTGATTGACTGATGAAGCTGACCACTGCCACGGGTGTAGGGGACTAGCCCATTCAGACAACCAATTCCAAAGGACCAAATTGGCAGACAAATTCGATGGACCTTCACGGTCAAATATCAAAAGCTATAGCCTTTTTTGATTTGCGGTGTGTAAAGTTCTTTGTTTTTATTATTATTATTATTTTTTTTAAGAAAAAAAAAGTTGTTTGCTTCTTGTGCAACTAGCTGGCGGTCAATATGGACACGAGGAAAACTCCTATTCCTGCATCATTTAGTTTAGCTATTTGGATTTGGATTCAATACTTCTGAAGTTCTACAAATATCAGTCCACCAGTTCCCTTAAAAAAATTCCTGCACGTATTTCCCCGAGCTCACACTTGCACACTCTTCAAAGAAGACCAACACTCTAGTGGCTTCATATTTTCCTGCACGTATCTCCCCGAGCTCACACTTGCACACTCTTCAAAGAAGACCAACACTCTAGTGGCTTCATATTCTTGGCAGAATCTAGCAACATTTAACCATTTAAATTCCAAGTTACTTTTTTTATATTTTGCAAAGCATCTTTGTTCTTTTCAGTGATCTTCTAGCATGGCATCCGAGTGTGTAATAGGAGTTCTCTTCTCGTTTCTTTGATTTATCTTTTAAGCACACTGCACACTCTCTAGTCATAATGTATATGTTGTATTGTGAAGATTCTACATTAGCCCAGAAAAAGAATAGGTTGCTGGTTTGATCTTTTTGCTAATGAAATGAATAGGTTGTAGAGCTTCCCCCCTAAGCCCATTTAAAGAATTGTGGGTTGAAACAATCAACGATACATTTGTATAGTATACAAAAGAAATCATTGATTCATTTCCTTGCTATCCAATTCAAACTCCTAGGGTGATTTTTTTTTTTTTTAATTTACAACTAAATTGGCTAAATGATTCAATCAATGAATTTTAAAAGACCAAACTGAAAGATGAAATTCGATGGCATTCATGAAGATATATCAAAAAGCTACAATTAGTTAAACATTTTCTTGCAAAATTATTAGCTTCTAATACATCTTGCGGACGGATAACATGGACAAAAACAGGAAACTCATATTTGTGTATCAGTTAACGCAGATGTTGGGATATAAATTCAAATGCTTTCAAAGTTCTACAAATATTAGTCCACTTGTTTTGACAAATTCCTACATATGCCTTCTTGAGCTCACACTTGCACACTCTTTAATGGTTTCATACTTTTGGGAGAATCATGCGATATTTATTGATTTAGATTCCAAGTTGCTTCTTTTGACTTGCAAAGCATCTCTATTTTTTCGAGTTTTATGCTAGCATGGTATCTTAGTGCATAATAGCCCTTTTTGCATTCTCTTATCTCGGCTGTCCTTGCTGTATCTTATAAGCACCCCATCTCCACTCATGAAGTGTGTGTTGTACATGTTAGAATAGAAAAGGATTATGATGATTCAGCACTAGACCATGAAAATAATAGGTCATTGGTTTGATCTTTTTATATGCAAAATAAATTGGTGGTAAAGATGGCCCTAAGCTCATGAAAAGAATTGTGGGTTGAAGCAATCCACAATCTTTTACACAGCCTTACGAGGAGCTGAGGGAGTGAGTATAGGGCCACAAAGGAGAAAAATCATTATAAACATTTTGTTTGATTATCTTTTTTACATAAAACGTCATCCTTCCGATTACCCGGTTATGAGAGATGTATTAGATTTGGTCTATGTTATGAAAGGTAGAGGCAAACCTAAAACAATTTGGTTAGAGAGATTAGAAATGATTTTTTTTATTTGATTTAAATGAGAATTTGACTCTTAAAAAAAACACAATGGGGAAAAAAGATTCATGTAGCCGACCCCATGTAGTGGGAGAAAGGTTTGATGTTGTTGTTGTATCTTTTCTACACTCTACTTTTAATAGCTACATTTGTACATAATAGATCATCAAATCATTTACTTAAACTATACCATTCAAACTTTTGGGGTGAATTATTTTTTAAATAATTTTCCAACTAAATTACCTGCTTACTCTCCATAGATATCAAAATTATAGGTCCTTGTAAATTTTCCTAAAAAACTTTTTGCTACTAGTGCAATTAATAGGATAGATAGAATGGACATAAACAAGAAACTCCTATTATTTTAGCTATTGGGATTTGAATCCAAATGCTTCCAAATTTTACAAATCCCAATCCACTAGTTATCTTGCCTTAAGGAATTCCTTCAGATACCTTCTTGATCTCACACTTACACACTCTTAAGGAAAGCTTAACACTCTAGAGGTTTTATACTCGTGAGACTTGAGAAAACCAAGTAACTTCTTTTTATTTGCAAAGCATCTTTATTTTTCAAGTTTTATTCTAGCATGACATCTAGCGTGTAATAGTCCTTTTTGCATTTTCTTCTGCCATGCCTTTGCTATATCACTAACTAGATATAGCCAACAAAAATAACAAAATAAGAAAAGAAAGAACAAATCCTTGTTTCATCAGTTTATGACTTTATGCAACTTGATCCATTCATCCAATGCTTGATTATAACTCTTGTGGAATAAATTTTAAATGAAGCTGACAAATAAACTAAAAATTACTCAGGAAAGCTTAACACTCTAGGGTTTTTATACTCGTGAGAGAATCTAGAAAGATGTGTTTTGAGATTTCAAGTAGTTTCTTTCGGTTTTCCAAAGTATCTTTATTTTTTCAAGTTTTATTCTAGCATGAAATCTAACTTGTAATAGTCTTTTTTGCATTTTCTTCTGTTATTATTTCGCTATACTGCTTAACAGATATAGACATAAAAATAACAAAATTGGAAAAGAAAGAACAAATCATTGTTTCATCGATTTATGTAACTCGATCCATTCATCCAGTGCTTGATTATAACTCTTCCTAAATAAATTTTAAATGAAGCTGACAGATAAACTAAAGATTACTAAATGTGTCATGAAGAGTAATTTTTTAAACCAACCTACACAAAATTTTATCAAAGCCCCATAAAGGAAGTAAAAAGCTTTTGATAAATTAAGGTTGACAAGAGAAGGGGAATAACTCACCCTTCTTAAGCTGTATATGAGCTTCTCATCTTCAGTCATCAGCATTTTATGAATTCTTTTGGACCTCCTATGCTCCATCTGTGTTTTTGCTGATTCTCTCCACATTCTCTTCTCTACCTTAGATCGCATGCCCCTTCCTTTCATTGTAGACATCAAACGTAAACAACCAAATGAACCACACAGAGAAGGGCCATAGTGACTGGCTTTCGTGATGGAAGTAAAACCATTCAAATGGTAAGTTCCGCCTCTGTAAAATTTACTCCAGGTATAATTATAATGATCTTAGTGAACAAAAATTGTTCTCAACAATCTAACAGTATTAATTGCAAAGCAATGTTCATAGGCTAAGTTGCTAAGCTTGACGCCTACCTTGATACAAGTGGCAAGAGCTTCCTAAAATGCCCCTCAAAAAGCTTAATAGCCCACATGATCGCAGCCTACATGGCTCAAAAGATCTGCAAAAGCATAGAAAGCGAGGCAATTGTCAAAACCAAATCTTGTTAAATGCAGTGCACGCCAACTTCAAGCTTCGAACGAGAATCATAGCTCGAAAGAGAAAACATCGAAGAGCCTTCATCCTTACAAAAAGCAAACTATAAATGCCAACAAGTTAAACCTACTAAACTTTGACGAAAAACCTATCAGCCACCCACAGAAACCAAATGGCAAGTAAAATCTTGCAGGTGAAACAAATATGCCAACTTCATCCGAGTAATGAACGAGAGGGCACCGCTTTTTTTCTTTTTCTTTTTTAATTATTATACAAAATTACTAACAAGAATACTCTAATCAACAACCCTCTGCTTGATTGTCTCACTCGCACGATCCCAGGACAGATGCATCGTTACAAAGATAGCAAAGCCGTTAGGAATAGATTAAGACAACGGGAATGTGCGACGCGCGTGTATTTGTGAAGAGAGAGAGAGAGAGAGAGAGAGAGAGAGAGAGAGCCCTTAGGAATAGATTATGACAACGGGAATGTGCGACGCGCGTGTATTTGTGAAGAGAGAGAGAGAGAGAGAGAGGATTACCAGCGTGCAGAAGGGTTTCCGGTGCGGTGCGGGTAGGCTGAGCCGCTGAGGCAAGGAGGCGGCCAGGGCCGGTTGGGGCAATGAGTGACCGATATGAGCCGAGAAGTAGAAGAAATTGCTCGGGTTCGACCTGCTCAACCCGATTGCAGGTAGGGTTAGAAGCGATTTGCATAAACGGATAATTTTGTAAGCGAATTATAGATATTATTAGACACACAGATATCAAATAAATAATTGAATTATAAATTTAAATATTTATTATTATTTTTAGCTTCAATAAATAATTTAAATTATATATAATCTATTTTCTTAATTTGATTTAAATAAATAAAATTAATTATATCTAATAATTACGATAACATCTGATATTTAATTAATATCCTATTTCCATTCAAATAATTTAAAATATTAGGTAAAATAAAAAATATCAACATCTATAGACGAATTTTAAAATTATTTGCGCGAGGGTACTAAAATAAAGTTGAAGCTTATTATCTAAAATACTATTCTAGATTTCACTAATTACAAATGAACAAAATATTAATAGCAAATAAAAAATTTCCATGATTGCATATTGAAACTTATGACCATCATGCATTAATAATTTTTATGTTTATATTTTTCAGATGTTTTTATTATATCCTTCTTACATTCAATAATTATTAGATTTAAAAAAATCTGCCGCTACTCATTTAACCGATTTTTTAGGAGAAATTATTACGTGCAAACACTGGACGTAAAGCTATGTCTGGACTCCAATAAAAATATGACATGTGAACTAATATATTACTATTTATTTATCTATGTATTATTGTGTATTAGCTAATACATAACTAATACATACCAATAAATGATGTGTATTGATATGTATTAACTTTGTATTGTAGTGAACTAGCTAATACAGTTAAATACACAGTAATACTTTATCCACACATCATATTTTTATTGAGTCCGAATATAACTCTACGTTCAGTATCCATACGTAATAATTTCTCATTTTTAAGACGAGCAAACTCTTAACAAAATTCATATAACAAGAAGCTCTAAAAGATTGAAGTTTGTATACTACACATAATTTTTTTTTTAATATATATAACTACAGAAGGCTACTCCAACTGAACTTCGCTATCTTTTACAATGACAGCATACTCATATGACAAGCTCATATAAATCAATCAATTCTAAGATTTCTGATATACAAGTAACATATCGATTAGAAGGTGAAAGACAAAACGGCAAATCAACGAATGAGAAAACGATAGCAATTTGATTCGAACAAGTGCACAAATGCATTCATTTACACTGATCAAACGAGATTATTGTTGAGCACAAGGTTCCAGCAGATTTAACCTTCAGTTCAGGTGCATTTCTGAAACTAAGGCTTCGATTGGGACGACTTGAAAATTTTTGTACTAAAAATTTGCTTTAAGAAGCAGTAAAAAAATCATCCCAAACGAAACCCTTAGTGTGCAATATTAGTATGAGAAGCACTTCAGGCCGAAAGAAAGGAATTCCTTCATCTATGTACATATAGGGGGGGCTACTATTCAAGCCTCAATATTGTTGTCTCTTGAGAGATTGAGAGCCCTTACCTCATCATCGTAGGCCACATTGCTTGATCTTCAACACAACGAGAGAGCTGCTGAACTAGAATGGAATGATGAACAGAAGATAGGAAGTATGAGGCAAGAAATGCTTCTACGCAAGTGCATTTTTATTTCTTGTCTGGGAAGGAAAATATGCCCATTTCCAATATCTGAAAATTGCCACACAGATTTTGTAAATGAACGTTGTTGAACTGTAATTGGATCCATGCGTGATTTCATGATATGTCATCCCTTTTGGTTCTTAATGATGGCAGTCGTAGCATCAATAAATGCATTTCTCATTGTTTAGGGTTTCTCACTGGTTTCCTATGGAGATTTTCGCCATGGTTTGATGCCCTTTTGAGGCATTTTGAAAGGGCTCCAGCTTTTTCTGCGCTTTGGACTGTCAGAGAAGAGTCCAGATGCTAAGGCCTGCTGCAGCCACAGCTCAAATTCATCGTCTTCGGGTACCATCTCAGCATCAAGGCCCCAAGGGTATCGCGACGAATTGGATCTTTGCGTCGACTTGTCCAAACCCACCATGTTTACATGGAAGCTTGGTCTGTGCGTGTTAGGCTTGCATGCCATTCCCTGCATATTTTTGTAATTAAGTTGGAAAGATGGCCTCTATTGCTAACTGAGATGTGGAGTGGAAATGGATCATCAATCTAAAAAGGGCCATAATATGGAAACAATGTAAAGCAAATGCCATAAGTCATCATTTTTCAGTAATATTCATCCTTGAAACATGTAAAATCAAAGCTTTAATTTCTTCTACATACGATTTAGGCTTTGTTTGAGACGGTTTTCTTATTGCTTCTTACAGCTTTTTAGTACAAAAATTTTAATGTGTACTAAAAAACTGCTTTAAGAAGCAGTAACAAAGTCATCCCAAACGATGCTTTAATCTCCTTCAAAAGTTAAAAACAATTCAAAATACAGAAGGGTATGGTATGAATGTTTTATGATCTTTTGGTTCAGACAAGTTGAGATTCACAAGAATCTCTATCTAATCAAGTACAATTATTGACATGGAGAACAAATCCCAAGTCTACAGGCACACCAAATTGGGATCCACTCAATTTTGAATGGACGTCAAAATGAAGCTAAATTGACTCGATTGACCTCCAAAAACTCCAAAGGAATCAGTCATTTGAAATGAGGACAAATAGGCCTACAATAAGTATTGATTTGGGCCTTTGATCAACCGAGCTTGTGGCAACAGCTTACACCACACCACCTTTAGCTGTTGAGGTGGCAAATTGGGACCCTTAGCATCAATAGCTAGCGACCACATCCCGATGTGCTCTCATTTGATCACAATTCTAGAAATTCCAAATCTCTGATTTGTTGCATTCCTCATGCTCCACCTAGTCTTGTCCAGTTTGTCTCATGATGTTCTTCGCAAGATAATAAAAAATTCCTTGATATTCTTCACAGACATTGGTCCTATTTTCACTATATCTGACATAAGAAGCGATAAATTCCTCATAGAAACTATTACCACCACCATTAATATCATTGTGACACATTGAATATGCACGTGTTTTTCAGTTGCTTATTACAAGCAATGTTGGCTCAATCACCTCAGTCAACCATCATTTGGCCTAGATAAAAATTAAGCAATACTTCGAATATTCCTAAATAGACCCTTGATAAGTCTATAAAATAGACCTCCTACTCAGTTCAATTGTGGATTCGAACTGAAAATTCAGATCAGGAGCTCATTTAGAGACCTAATTCCTTCATTATATTTTTGTTTGTTTGGATCATACTTTGGAAGGATTCCTCGACGAAAACTCTTCAAATACAATGCCAAAGTTCTAATAAAACTAGAGGAAGTCCACCAATGCAAAGCTGAACTTGGTCAGCCAACACTGCCTTACTTCAATACTAGCCTACTTTCACATGCTGACGACTAGCTAGGCTTCTCTAAAGTTATTTGAAGACATGCTTTTGTCAACAAACCAATTAGTGCTCGTGAAATCCTCTAAATCATTGTCACTGAAAAAAAGTCAATGTTCATTGAGGGTTAAGCTACCTCAATTGTTTTTTGGTTGGTGTCAACATCAACAACTCTAGAGCAGCACCAACGGATGCAAACTTCTAAACCACTATCTTTTGTAGATAATCTTCTACTGACATCACTTCAACTACTCGGGAGTAGAGAAACATTATTTACTCACATTTTACTAGCAAAATCCTGCAATCACATTTTGCATATTGTGAAAAATTTTACACCCAAGTCAGGCCAAGTGATTTTTGCTCGTATTCATCACACCTACCAGATATTGCAACTATAAAAGAGGAATAAATCAATGGTCGCAACCATCATATGATCACAAGCAAATAGAGAAAAGGAAACAAAGAAAGAAGTCCTAGCAACCAAAGTTTTTAAAACCGGACTGGACCGGTTGGTTCAACCCCGAACCCACCGGATAACTGGTCTGACTTAAACTCAAAACCGTTCTAAGCTTTAAATCAGGGAAAAATCCGATGAACCACTGGTTAAACTGTGTAACCGATGAATCGGCCATATTTAATAGAACCAGTCGGTTCGAAACAACAAGCATTTAGCGACGTTTATTGCAAATCGAATGGACAAAATCAGGCTAAACTAAAAGTAAAATTGTATAAACCTAAGCAGCTTGCGTATTTTCCTTCCCACGACCTTCTCTTTCATTCCCGTATATTTGTTTGCTCGTATTCATCAATGCATTGTTTCTACTTTCTTCAATAGTCCGGCCATCGTGCTTCTCATAAGCTTCACACTCCTTTGAAAGTTTGTCGGGTTGCCACTCATCGACTATGGTTTCAAGTTCGATAACCCGTCTTGCTAATCACCACAGTCTCTAAGTATTCCTATTTCTATGCAAGAATTCTTTCCCAAACTTATTTTAAATTTTTTATTCTTCCTACCTCTGCTTTGTCTATTTCCTTCTTATGACTAACTGGAAGAAATAGGATTTCCAGTTAGTTCTGTATGCAATGGTGTGACTTGTAAGCACAACTTGATAGCTGGAATAGAATTCAGCTGAGTAAAGGCTTTTAGCATAACCTGAAACATGTATTGTTAATGAAGAAAATGGGAGAAATGCTTGGGGGGTTCTGTTGTGTGAAAAGGGAATGGTTAGCAAGTTGCCTGAATGGAAAATGTATTCCTTTTTTTATTGATTATTGCTAGTCTTAATTTGATGAGAAATGAAGTAAACAAAAGCAGGCACAATTCAATCTATTAGCATCTTAACACAATTTATTAGATTACATAAAGTATGCTGGTAGGAATTTGATGCAAACCTGCTAGGAAAACTCATCTATTAGATTAGAAAGCTGGAAGCAATTGTTGATTTAGTTATCAGTATATTTGATATTTCATTTCTTTGTTATGTAGTCTTAATCCTTTAAAGATTTTGCTGATGATCATAAATTAACAAATATCTAATAACTTATATTTCATGTCTTCATAAATTAACAAATATCTAATAACTTATGCTTCATGACTTCAATTAAGAAAATGAATTCATTCATATTTTATATTTCATGATTATTTATTTTGTTTAATTTTCAGTCACATTTTATATATGATTGCATCATTAATATATAAATTATGCTATAGTTAAATAAAATTAATATTTATTGCGTAATTCAGTTAGATCCGATTCGACCCCGATTGAACCATCGAACCGTGAAACTCTCATTCTTCCGGTTCATTGTACAGTCCAATTTTCACAATGTTGCTCGCAACAAGAAAAGAAGGAGAAGCAACATCAAAATCTTATTCTCCATGTTCAGCCGTCATATTCACAAATGGTTGTGTTCCTTTTTTATTGTTAATATTGATAAAATAGTAGTATCTTTAACTTTATTTATATGAATTGTGATTTTTTTTTCAGGTACATCTTTTAAAACTTATTGAAATATTTTAACTTTACACAACTACGGATATAGGTGAATCTCAACGAAACACATAAACTTGTAGTGTGTTTGAGATCTGTAATTTGCTTGTTATCTCATTTTCAATTAATTTTATTTGACTTTTTATCACTATCCTTTACATGAAAGTAAGGCCAAATTATTTTTCCCTTTTTAAGTTTTTCACATAAAAAATCTCTACATCTTTTATTGTTCCTCTAGCATTCATTCCTAATATCTACTTGTGTATTTAATGCTAACTCTAGGAGCGCTTCAAGAACCTTCAACAATATAAGCCTGCTAATAGCCATTTATTCCTGCAACTAGTCGACTAGGCCTTTGACATAGTTCCATCCAGCTGGTTTCTGAAAATTTCCAATTCTCTTGCAAGCAAAAACAACCCACCCTGCTTTATAGTTAGTTATTACCTTATCATAATGTTTGGGATCACTTTTTCTTCCTTTCAAAAATATATTAAAAAACATAAAAAGGTTTTTATGTTGTTATTTTTTTTCTAGTTTCTTTGTTTTTTTTTTTTTTTTTTAATATAAGTTGATTTTTTTTAAATACTTAAAACACATTTACGTGTTTCATTGTTTCCAACAACTAATTTTGGTAGTCCTCGCTCCATCACGCGTCCCTTCAGTTAGAAAAAACAAAAACTTCAAAACGAAATAATTAGGATAAGTAACCACCAAATCATGTCTCAACACTTAAGAAATAATGGCTGATGCGATCTATAAATAAATTAATACGAGAAGCAAGAATACTATTCAATACAAATACCATTATCACAATATATGCGACATCCTTTTAAATTAGAATATTAACTAATATGTTGATTACATATATTTATTTCAATAATTTAAAATTAATAATGAAATTTAATTAGATTTAAATATATATATAATGCATGAAAACTATAATTATTAATTATAACTTGACAAATTGTTGTTACAATATCGGAGACTGCAAAGAAATATAAGCATGTGGAGAGGTAGTGACACTAATATATTTTTTAAATATAATTGGACCATATAACTAGCATGATATAGGTTCCCAAAGCTACTAGGTTTTGTAAATAATAATTTAAAATGTAAAATTTACTCGGAAATTAATATCTTGGATATAATTTTCAATTTTTTGAATTTTAATAATAAATAAATAGACAAAAACTGATCAGCAAAACCGGCAAAACTATTAAAATCACCAAAAATAAAACTTCAACGATAAGAAAGAAAAAATGAAATGAAAATTGATGACGAAAACTAGGTTTGTACGCCAAAAAAATTATTCCGCTTTTTGTTTCCCAACACTCTATATCAGAAAAGCAATCAGATTTCATCCTTACCTGTTAATTCTTTTTAGAAACTGCATATAAGGACAAATGGCTAATAAGTTCAAGTGTTCCTCAAATCAATTAACCATAGCTGTAGGGGAAGCGGGGCATCAGCTGTAGCGTTAAACACTCCAGCAGATACGGGTTGTTCATCACTGCCACAGGTGTACATTGATAAGATATCATCATATCATAACAATAATCAACTTAATTAACCAAAAATAACATTGCAGCTACAGTACTGCAAAATTTAGGTGCCTCAAATCATGAGCTCCATTACTAAGAAAATCACCATCCAATCATCATCATCACAAGCCGCATCCTAACTATTTGTAATGAGCTTTATAAATCTTCATTCATTCCTACTTAGTATTGTAGGAAACATTAAATCTATTATGTGACACTAGACTACTTCTACGCATTTTCATTTCTAATCCTTCAATATTAATTTTTATCTACCCACCTGGGTACAGCAATATTATCTTTCATAGCACAAATCCAAATAATTTCAGTCTAATTTATGCTACCCTTAGTTGCAAACCGAAATGAATCTATTAATAATGAAAGTGTACCTACAAAGAATCTTTATACTCTAAAGTGATAATCGCCTCATTCTAATGATGCAATAGCATGACTTGACGCTATAACAAGCTATGTGACATGAAATCTATCCACTTGCATCTTTAGTACTCTCCTTATAATGTGCCCTTCTTTGTTCCAACTTTGACTTGCAACCAAAAAGTAAACCAACTTAAGCTTCTCCAAATCAAGGTGCACAAATGAAAAAGAAAATCAAATTGAAATTGTTTCATTCAAAGTTGCGCCATGAAACACATAAAGACCATCAACTCTCTTGGTCTTCATGATGACCAATACACACTAGCGAACTTTGAGGACTTTAAAATCTCCTAATAAGTAGTTTGCAACTTTATGAAGACTCAAAAATACAAGAATCATCCTATGATCTAGAATTAACACATGCAAATATTGGGTTTGCTTCAATATCTGAGAAGAAAAAAATATGTTCTCAGAAGAATTTGAACCTTAGACCTCCACTTTCGAGATCAAAGAAAAAAACCATTAAACTAAGTGATTGGTGGTACGTGAAAAATACATTAGTACAAAAACACCAAGTGGTTAAGAAAAAAGGTTTGGCAACTTGGGCATCAAGCACAACTTTGGTCCTCCTTACTTTCACATTCCATGACAAAGTGATGCCAATGCCAAAGGTGTTTAGCAAAAATTGAGAAATACATACCATTTGGTCCTCCTATGGTGTCTTTAGTCCATTCTACTATGGTTGAGCAAGATTTAGGAGCAGATAAATGCTCATGGAGGAAACAAATAATGGAGTTCTCTTTTGGATACATGATAGTTGAAGATGCTAAAAAGATTCAATTTGATGAGTGATAGTGTTAGGCGGGCCCCTCCAATCCTTACTTACTCTAGGCGGGCCCCACATGGAGTTAATTCAAGGGTTGGAGGGAAAATTTGAATGGAAAGGGGGGGGAAATTTGAATAGAAGGGCTGTTTAGGGATTTTGTATGGGGATGAGAGTTAAAGAGGGGGAAAGGGGGGAATTAGGGCCGGATCTTGAATTAGAAGGAAAAGTTTGAGATCTCATTGTGTGCTTGGGCTCTAGGGTTTGCTAGAGACTTGTGGAGAGTTGTTCTTCCTCTCGAATCGAAGGACGTTGTATCTTTCTTTGTTTTCTTGCATCTACTAGTGGAAACCTTGTTTCTTTTCCTTATTTTTCTCTGTTTGGGTGCATTTCCTGCTGCGGAGCTGCTGTAAAACTGCTGGGACAGCAGTTTTGCTCACTGTTTTGGGCTGATTTTGACTAGGGTTGCTTGCGAACTCAAGTATTACCTTAGGGTTACTTGCGAACTCAAGTATTTCCTATCAGATAGTTGATATGGAGACCTCTTTATGGGTGGGAGATTGCCAAGACATCTGTGTGTTTTGAAATTAATACCTCATTGATAAGAGAAAAGTATGTTTGCATAAAACGGCCAACTGGTTGATCCTATCCCATAGGGTTGAGCTCTTGAATAGAAAACATGCTTGACCACTGATGTATCAAGTCTAACTTGGTTCAGCTTCGTTGCACAATGCTAAAATTCAAGACTTCCAATTAATTTATATTCATTAAAAGTCTTCATAACATTTACTTTTAGCCATTTTTTAAAAATGTATTTATATTCCATAATAGTCTTTTATATACCCTCAATCCATCAGCAAGCCTCCTTCATCATGTATAATCTATTTCTAAACTCTCATAAATCCCTATGCCGATGTTCTCAAACTAGCCATCCTAACCCATGTCAAGTTTAGTACAATCACAAAAACAACCTTTCTACTAGAAGATAGGACAGCGTTGGGTATAGCAAATCTTCCTAACATCACACGGTTAGTTGTATAGCCGGAGTAACTCTAAAATATTAAGTACTCCTCAATTTTGCAGCACCTTTGAACATGAAGTAGAAAAAAAATAATATAGCCCTTCCCCAATTTTCATTCAGCTGGTAGCAAAGAATTCTCCCGAAAGATCCCCCAATTCATATGTTTGCCAAGTAGATATCCCAAAGAGAAGTATAACATATAACTCTCAGCGAGATGATTGACAATCAAAATCAATAATCCAACCACCTAATCAATGCTCTAAATAAAAAACAACACAAGTTGAACAGGTCACTTGACAAACAAACAAAGATGAACAGTTATGAAGAAGTAGAAAATTTTAGATTGAGGACAAAGCCAAAGCATACCATACTTTCATCGAATGAAAAACTAACATAAACCTTGAAAAAGGTGATATCCAACTCAAATATTCATCACTGTTGCAAACTTAGTCTTAACCACGTAAAAAATGTTAAAATGAAGTCATCTGTTAGAACTTGAAAATATGTGCTTGTGTGCTTTTTTTTGGGGTGGGGGGTTGGATTGCAGGGTGCATAAGACAAATATAATGGCACAGCGGTGCGTCCCAAAACCACTTATCCAAATTGTTATTTTTGAACAGTTAGGAAATACCTTAATTCACCACATCAAACCTGCTAATTTAATGGCCAATTTTCACATTTAAATGAAACCACTAAGATGGATTAATCGCCTAACTATTACTTGTAGAAGCAGAAAACAACAGAGACAGCCATTTTCAATCGCATATACAAGACAAAGATGCACGCAATCACGAATTCAAACTCATGCGGGCATGCTATGCCAAGTTGGTTAATGGCATCATGCACCTATTTACAGGTTTGTGTTTGAAACCTGCTGGTTACAGAAGAACATGATACAAATATCTTAGGTAGAAAACTATACTGTCAAATAAACATGGTCAACAATGCTCTGACCTTTAGTATAAATTATTCAGGTGAATATGGGATCTAAGAAGTCTACTGCTGGTACACTGAGGAAAATTAACTTTGCCACTGACATTGTAAACAAAATCCAAAAGCAATGTATTTGGACAAGCATTTCAGGAGATGATATAAGAGTAATATTATACGGATAAAAACTTGAAAAATAGCATCTTGTGGATTAAGGTATATCAGAAGTAGCATCAGGATTTAGAAGCCAGGATGTTATAACATATTGCCCGAGAATGCATCAAATTAGTCTTAGAAAGATATTCTTTTAAAAAGATGCAAAACTTCACTTTAATACAAAGACTATAAGAGACTGAAAAGATCTACCTTTTAAGCCGCATTCATGCTAGCTAGTGATAACTTATTTTTAAAAAATATTGAGTAGAAGGCATAAAACAAAAGTCCAAACAAAGTTATAACACTTTGATGCACAAAAAAAAAAAAAATTTGCATATACAAATGAAAATTTACCAACCTGGCAACTAGCCCATTCAGACACGTCAAATATCTTGCTCTCAGCACAGACAAAGGCACGGGGTATTTCGACCTGGTCATTAAAAGGAACTCTTCAGATATTATGAACTAACGGTTGACAAATTTCTATTGCACACACAGCAAACGTAAGCTTATTTCACCAATCCCCCAAGCTAGTGATGAGCAGCCAGGTTCTTGATACACAACTTTAAAGAGAGAGTCTTTTATTCAATTATTTATTTATTGATAAAGTAAAGGTTGAGCATATTCATTTTGGATTTTGATAGGCAAACAAATAACACTAACAAACATATATATATATATATATATATATATATATATATATATACACAGAGAGAGAGAGATAAAAGATGTTTTGCCAAAATCAAGACCAAATCAGAGACAATGCACGCCATGTCAAAAATAGGAGAAATTATTACGTGCGGAGTCCGGACACCAATTAAATGCTGATACATGCGGCCCGACGATCTGACCCAGTCTATTGGTCTCAAGGTGAAAATTTTAAAATTGCGACAAACCAAAAGTCCCCACATTCGAAGTCGGGTCACTTTTCATCGTTGAACAAGGATTGCACTCCTTTCAGTTCAGGCACTCTCCATCTTCGAACAAGGATCGCTATCTTCGTCAGTTAGGCCGATTTGTAAGGTCAATTTTATCTCCAAAGTGGCACTTTATCATTGAATATATTGAAATGACAAAGCTACATACTTTGTTTGTGGTTTATTTCAAAATAGTTGTTAGGATTTAGGATTTAGGGCATTTAGTTGTCGCCTTTTTGCATCTACTGCAAACCGGCGAATGTCGTTCGATTGGAGATTGTTATGGTGTATTATTCAATTATTTATATTCGAATGCCCGAAAAAGGCATGCTTTTGTACGGAAACTGTGTAAAACTTAATTTTATGCTTCTCTTTTAATGGCCAACATTTTGTGTAAAAAAATTGCAGGTCTCACCACCATCTTATAGAATTTTCCCTTAAGTTTGAGGGCTACTTTTCTATCACATAACAGACCCAATGCATTCCTCCACTTCAACCATTTAACTTAAATTCCACTTAATAATATCCCTATCTATTTCACCATCACTTTGAACTATAAACCTGAGATATCTAAACTGCATACTCTTTTTAATAGCTTGATTGCCTCCAAAGTCACAATTCCCACACTAGATTTATTACTATTAAAATTACACTCCATGTATTTTTGGATCTACTCAAACGAAAACTTTTAGGACCAACATAATTCAAGTTTTCCTTCAACTCCCTCTCTGGTCTTATCAACAAGAAGAATATCAACAACAAAAAGCATACACCAAGGTACATTCTCTTACAAATGTCTAGTAAGAACATCCATGACTAAAGTAAAAAGATATGGGCTTAAAGTTGATTCTTAACGTAATCCAACTAAAAAAGAAAAATACTTAGTCAAACCACCTTGTGTTTGAACACAAGTAACAACTCATGCATAAATATCCTTGATAAATTGAATATAACCATTATTAACTCATTTCTTCTCTAGAGTTCTCCAGAGAACTTCTCTTGAAACTTTATCATATGCTTTCACTAAATCAATAAATATCATATGTATATCCTCCTCATTCTCTTTATACTTCTCCAACATACCTCTCAATAAATGTATAGATTTCATAGTAGATCTCCTCACCATGAATCCAAATTGATTTTGAGAAACATTAATATCACGTTATAACCTATGCTCAATAACTCTCTCTCTCATAGTTTTAATGTATGACACACTAACTTAAATTCTCTATAATTCACACACTCTTGTGTATCACTTTTATTCTTAAAAAATAAGAATCAACACACTCATTTTTCACTCAAATGGCATTTTTTTAGTCTTCAAAATAATAATAAAAAGTTTAGTAAGCCAATAATTCCTCCATCTCCTAAACATTTCCACACCTCTATTGGAATATCATCAGGTCCAATAGTTTTATCACATTTCATTTTCTTAAATTCTCTTCAACTTAGGTTTTATTAATATGATGATAAAAATAAAAAACCCTATTTTCATTTAGGGTGCTAAGGTCACTCAAGTCAATCACATTCTCATAATCTTCATTGAAAAGTTTATTAAAATATCTCATTCATCTATGTTGAATATCCTCTTCTCATAAAGGCACTTTTAGATCTCCATCCTTAATGCACTTCACTTGAATTAGATTTTTACTTCTATATTTTTGTTTGGCTAATTTATATATACATCTTTCATCCTCCTTAGTATCAAATCAATTTTATAAATCATTAAAAGCTAAACTTTTGCATCGCATCTTGCTTTCTTGGACTCTTTATGGGTCTCTTCTATATCTTTACCGATTTTCTGAGCTTTTACATTCAAACCAATTTTCATAAAAATGCTTCTTATTTTTTATATTTTCTTGTATATTTTGATTCCACCACAAATTATTTTATTATTAGAAACTTTTCCTTTTTATACTCAAGTATATAGTTTGTAACATTATTAATATTACTAGCTACTTTTTTCATATAATATTAGTTTTCCCATGCATATTCAAAATATTGAGATCTTGAGTCTTACTATCAAAAATATTATTGTTAGCTTTTTTTAAATACCCTCATCTAATCCTAGGACAATAGCTTACAATCATCTAGTTAATAGCTCCTTAATTGGTTCAGGTCTGCTTGGATCATGTCCCCCACCCTTCGATTTGGCTTCATTCACTCCTGCAATTAGTATTAAAGGGGGAAGAGTCAAACTCCTACCTTTGACTACCACTTGACTAGTCTTAAAGTTTGTTCAGTTTTGGTAATCTTTAATCCACATAGCTTTGACGTGGTCCTTATATCCACAATGAGGTCGCCTTTTAGTAGATCATCAAGACAAATATTACCCTCAACTGTAGAAATCACCCTCATATATTCCACTTCATTAACTAGCAATGTTTGTTCAAATAACTTTAAATTTTCAATATTGATAACAAGTAGATGCTCATGCAAGAAGGAAAACCAAACTGAAATGCATTTCCACCAATCTTTCGTAAAATCTGGAATGGACTTGATACTTCATCCTTCAACTTTCAATATATCCTTCCCCAAGTGCACTAAACCAAGCAAATTCTTGGTAAGTGCAAGCAATCATGTGCTTATCAGTTATCATAACAAGACTTCAAGGTTTAAAACTGTGTAAATAAGCCTCGAGACATTTTTCATCCGTGAGGTGAGGCATAAGTGATGTGATACAATCATGCGATGAATTGCGAATTGCACTTAGAAAACAATAGAAGTATTGATTCAAAACTTGCTACCAAAGCTCTTTGCTTAATCAAGTTGAGTTCACGAATTAGATGACGATAAATTAAGTAATGACAAGAAAGCACATTTAGAGATTAGAAGACTTTCAAAATAACATCAATAATTCAAGTAATACAAATGGCTAAGACTAACAAAGCCCCAAATTTAAGATTTAGATCCTTCACCTTAAGATCCGTCACTCATACTTATAGTGGTGGCTAGCGGAAGAGAACCGTAAGTAGACTTAGCGACGCTACTAATAGGCAAGTGATCTTGAGAGGACTTGTCGCCGGGCCGGGAATCGGATTCGGAGAAGTGGGGGGACGGCCTTCAATGATTCACGTGTAGACGGAGAAGTGGTCGTCGATGGACTCCACTAGTGTTGGTCGGATCCGATCCAATAGTGGGCCAATAAAATCGATTCTCTACTGCAGCAATATTTTTGGCTTGCTCGAAATGGCCAGCTAAACCTCCGGCATGTAACTCCCAAACTAGAAATTCCCTAAGTGAAGTGTTGGGAATACAGAGTTTTTGCGATTTGAACAAATAGCCATCTTGTACGAGAAAGTCATTTATAACTAGATCTTCCCCGCTAGTCAGTAGGGAATATGTTTCTTTGAAGTCAGGGCAGTCTAAGTAATCGTCCTTAAGGCGTTCAAATCCGGTAACCTCAGTTCTCATTCCTTGAGTAATCATCAGCCTCCTACTAAGCGCATCCGCCGCTTTATTCTCAGATCCGGCCTTATGTCTAATCGTGTAAGTGTATTCTTGTAGGAATTCAACCCAATGATCATGGCGGGCATTGAGTTTCTTCTGGGAATTGATGTATCTCAAGGCTTCGTGGTCTGAGAATATTACAAATTCTTGTGGCAGTAAGTAGTGTCTCCAGTATCTGAGGGACTGGAACACTGCGAGGCGATGTGCCCGTATCCATGACACCTATAGCATTTGGTTCCCGAATTGGGTCTGGGAGTGTCTCGTTCGGGTGCTTTACCTTTAAGGTCCGGACGATGAGGGGTTGAACTAGCAGCGGGTCGGCTACCAGTCGAGTTTGTGGGTCGACTTTGAGGCTGGCTGGTGGAAGAACGATACGGGTTGGGTCGGGAGTCAAACTGCCTAGTGTGGGAATGGGTTTTGGACTCCTTTAAGTCAAGTACAAGGCTGCAGGCGGCCTCTAGCGTGTCTATTCCTCTAGCAAACAGTTCGGTGCGAAGATCTTCCCGAAGGCCAGCTCTAAACATAGACAGGATTTGTGTTGGGGTAGCGGATTCCTCGCCGTTGCAACGAATCAGGAAATCGTCGAAGGCGGAGATGTAATCTTTGTTGGACTTGCTCCCCTGGGTTAGCCGATTCCACTTATCTAGAAGCTTAGGGTAGTAGGAAGGTGGTAAGTATTTTCTCCTAAGTTCATGTTTCATAGTCCTCCAATCGTTTATCAGATGTTCTCCTCGAGATTCACGCATGTTTTCCAAGTTGGTCCAGTAAAGGTTGGCTCGACCAGTGAGTTTCATTTCAGCAAATCTGACTTTCTTTGCTTCAGAGATGTTGTACCATTTAAAGTAGCTATCCATCGATTTGAGCCAATCCAGGAAAACTTGAGGGTCAAGGGTCCCGTCATATGTTGGGGCATCACTCCTAATGTTTTTCAGTAATTGAGCGTCGTTGTCTCTCCAAGGGTTGTCGTTCCCTATGGGCTCTTGGTGGGGTCTTGGGTTATGTTGGTAGTGGTCTTGAAGATGTCCGGGATCGCGAGGTTGGTCATAATCGGGTCTGTTGCCCT